ACGAGGTCAAGAGATCGAGACCATCCTGGTCAACATGGTGAAACCCCGTCTCTACTAAAAATACAAAAAATTAGCTGGGCATGGTGGCGCGTGCCTGTAGTCCCAGCTACTCGGGAGGCTGAGGCAGGAGAATTGCCTGAACCCAGGAGGCGGAGGTTGTGGTGAGCCGAGATCGCGCCATTGCACTCCAGCCTGGGTAACAAGAGCGAAACTCCGTCTCAAAAAAAAAAAAAAAACTAAGGCAAACAATTTCTGCAGGCCGGGTTTCAGACCAGAAATGTTAGGAGAGGAATCATGATAAGGGGACCCTGCATTAAATTGCAGTAAATGGAAACTAATGAGAAGCCAGTTGGTCAGGGGCTGGCTCTGCACCCCGCCTCACGGCAACTGAGGAAGGACATTGTGGAGCATTGAAGATCGAGGTAAAACCACAGGGTCGTCACGTAGTTGGCAGAACATGATGTATGTGGAAAGCCTGAAGACAGCAGGCTCATTTAGCTGACGAACAGTAGGATAAGAAATAATTGCCAGGACCACAGATGCCTTTTAAAGTCCCCTGCAGTGACAGCCATGGTAGACCCTGGCACGGTGAGTGACATCCTGCCAGGATGGCAGCAGGGATGCTGGTGGCTTGCTGGAGCTCTGCTCCCTGAGGGACCTGCCGCCCCTTCTCTGTCCCCTCTCCCAGCTCCAGCCAGTAGATGAGCATCCCTGGGCTGGCTGCATCTCGGCTTCTGCCACACAGTTCTCAGGACTGCGTGTTTTCTCCGTTAACCATCTATTTTGCTTATTAAAGCCTGTGTGTGTGCCTGTGTAGTGCTGTTTGTTTCATCATTACATTCTGTCATATAAGGTGAAGATCAAAGCAGCCTAAGCGATACGAAATACATGTTCATGATTTTTTTTTTTTTTTTTTTGAGACGGAGTTTCACTCTTGTTACCCAGGCTGGAGTGCAATGGCGTGATCTCGGCTCACCACAACCTCGGCCTCCTGGGTGCAGGCAATTCTCCTGCCTCAGCCTCCCGAGTAGCTGGAACTACAGGCATGCACCACCATGCCCAGCTAATTTTTGTATTTTTAGTAGAGACGGGGTTTCACCTTGTTGACCAGGATGGTCTCGATATCTTGACCTCATGATCTACCCGCCTCAGCCTCCCAAAGTGCTGGGATTACAGGCGTGAGCCACCGCACCCGGCACATGTTCCTGTTTTTAATGATAACTTAGAAGCCCTAGGCTTGTTAGCATCACATAAATGAGGCAGGGAGAAATAGAGGCAGTTTTTATTACTCAAATGATACTTGCAAATAAGCATTAACAAGTGCTCTATTAACAAAGGCTAAGACCAATTTTTTTCCTTTTAGTCAGAAAGGAAGCGGCATCAAAATCTTAGTCATCTCAACTGACTAAATGGTGAAATCTGGATTCCTTAAAAGTAAGAGCTTTTGAAATTTTTTTTTTTTTTTTTGAGTTCTGTCGCCCAGGCTGGAGCGTAGTGGTGCTATCTCAGCTCACCGCAACCTCTGTCTCCCAGGTTCAAGCGATTCTCCTGCCTCAGCCTCCCGAGTAGCTGGGATTACAGGTGCTGCCACCACACCTGGCTGACTTTTGTATTTTCAGTTAATTCTCATGACTTCCAAGTGCACACAGTTATGTGCAAAGGCCAAAAAACCATGACCTCACGAAGGATGCAAAATCTGCATATAATTCTTTCCAAACAGTGCGACAGAGCCCCAGGGATCGTCTGCAGTATCTGTCCACCATCCACGTGGGGCATGGGTGTCTTAAGTATCCACGCGCAGTGTTTCAGTAAGTAATTGTTTCCCACACGTCTTTTTCCTGGTGTTTATTCGATAAGCCTCCTTGTTGACATGCTGTGGAGGTGAGGCCTGGTTTGGTGTCGGGCTGGGGGTGCAGTGGGGAGACTCAGCCTCAGACCGCACCCACCCGAGAGCCCTGGGTCCCAGTAGGCAGGCCCAGGTTTCCTCTCATCCGGGACCACTTTGCTCACATTCCATCCTCCAGCTGAACTGCTCAAAGAAACAGACGGAATGTTGATTCTTTCAGTCCAGGCTCAAATACCATCTCGTCCTGGAGCCTGTGGGTTCCCCCCGGTGTCTCTGAAATCCTGCAGTCCTGTGTGTACACTTTGGCTGCAACCTCTTTTCGTTTTTCCTTCTGTGTTTTCCAGGCCCGTCTCTTATTTTTAGGTAAGACAACATTCTTAGTGTCTGTGTCTGCAGCTGGCAAGGTGCCTCTGAGTGGGAAACGGGGGCCATTCTGCCCTGACCCTCGGCCGAATGTTGGCATATGGTGGAGATTGCCCCAGTCTTTAGCCCAAGGTGTTTTTGTAGTAAGAGAAATAAGCGATCCCTGAGAACACTGGTCCTGGTGGTACAACTGTGAATGTGAACCTGGGCCCTTCAGGCTAGCCTGGGGCTGGATCGCCCGAGTCGGAGAACCTTCCGGAAAGACTGTGAATGCTCATTAGTCTTTAATTCTCATAGTCAGTAGTTAACTGAGTATGTCTGTTTAGTCATGGAGACCAAAGAATGAGTAAATTGGGTGCCGTGGAGGAGAACAGTCCTCTGCCACATGGAGCTCACTATACGCTGGTTTTACCTGGATTCAGCCACTGACCACTGACTTGTATGCTGCAGAAGCCCAGGGCCAGGTCTCCAGGAAGGCGCCACCTTCTCTGAAGAGCTGCTTCCTGGGCTGCAGCGAGCAGATGGGACCAGCATAAAACACGGTTCTCCTTCTGACACTGCATCTTCTTAGTCTGAGTCAGTGCCGGCCCCAGGAGCCACTTCCACAGGCCCTGGGACCTTTACAGTGGTTGAAGGGCCTCTGATCTCAGCAATTCATACAAGTGACTTCTGGCAGAATTAGTCAAGAAGCACTTCAGGCTTATTTGATACTCAGCAGGTGCACGTTTGAGTGAGAGCAGCATGTACCGCGTAAGAGGGCAAGTAAGGGTTTTGTTTCAAGGCTGGTGTGAACGGCCATTCTGACACCGACACCAGCGTGAGAACTCTGGAGGAAGGGCTGGAGAGGGGTCGTTGGCTCCCAGTTCTGCAGGCCTAACAGCCTCAGGAAACTTGGCACTGGGGTGGCAAGTGAAGGGAAGCAGCACCTTCGTCAGCGGCCAGGAGAGGGAGCGGGGTGGGGTGGGGGGCAAACAGCCAGAGAGCCTGGGAACCCATTCACTATCAGAGCAGCAGGGGGAAGCCACCCCCACGACTCAGTCACCTCCCACCAGGCCCCACCCACTGGAGGTGATATTTGCGTGGGGACCCAGAGCCAAGTGGTGTTAGCACCAGAGGAAGCCGGGCTGCACTCTGAAGTGGAGGACCGGGAAGTGAGACAACGTGAGCTGTGGGGGACACGCAGGGGGAGGACCACAGCCTTGGCTGGGAGGGGAAATGGGCAGTGCCAGGTCCCCGGCAGTGAAGCCAGGTGAACACAGGAGAGCCTGGGGGTCTCAGGCTGGCTGGTGCTGGGCCTTGGAGCCCTGAACAGGGTGTCTGAGAGGAGAATGCCAGTTCTCAACGCTTAAGCAATGACCAGGAGCAAGGCGCATCCTCAGGAAGAAAGGAGCTCCCAGTTCTGGGGCCATGGGGCAGGAAGGACCAGGCTTGTAGGTGCAAAGAATGGAGAGGAGGCAGGGCCTTGGGGTCAGGAGGAGCCTCAGGGAAGGCAGGATGTTGACCAAGTATCAGGGAGTCAGCTGTGGGATCCACAGGGCTTGGGATTCCCTTTGATTGGAGAGGGCAGCTCATCTACAGGCAACTGGGAGGAGCGAGGAAGCAGTCCCCACGGCACTGGGAAAGAGGTCGCCCTCTGGGATGCAGTGGGCTGCTGTGTTCTCTGTGGGGAGCACACCAGCGGCTTCTTGTCCGCATTTGAAGTCTAGTTTCTAGGGCAGGCTGGCATTGGCGTGGTTCAAGAAGCTCTGCAGGCGGCTCTAGGGTGCAGCCAGGGTCCATAGTCCCGGAACAAGACTCGGAGTTGAAAGGCAGTTCAGAGACAAGCTTGTGTTTGCACAGGGCTCCACCATGGGTGACCACAGCAGCAGCCCCTGCCAGGCCTCAGGGGAGGAGGGGAACAGAGGCCTTTGAATTGGAGACCCCTGAGGATGGGGTACAGTGGCATATCATGCAGGAAGGCCACGGACATGCGGAGAGAGGACCCCTTGCCAGGGTGGCAAACACTCTGCTTTCTGCCTCTGCGTATGCCTTCATTCTGAATAGTGCATGTGAATGAAATCATACACCACGTGGCCTCCCTCTTGTGACTGGCTTCTTTCACACAGCATCATGTTTTCAAGGTTCATCCATGCTGTAGCCTGTCAGTACTTCATTCTTTTTCATGGCTTAATAATATTCCGCTATATGGATATACCACATTGTTTGTATTGTTTCATCTATTGGTGGACATTTTCATTGGTTTCACCTTTTGGACATTTTAAGTAGAACTGCTGTGAACATTGGTGCACAAGTTTTTGTTGAAACACTAGTTTTCAGTTCTTTTGTGTATAGACAGGCAGGCAGTCCCTGGCTTAAGATTTTTTTACGTTACGATGAAGTGCATGCAAGTTCTCCACACTAAGTAGAAGCCATACTTTTGAGTACCCACATGACCATTCTGTTTTTCACTTTCAGTTATTCGATCAATTACATGTGATATTCAACACTCCATTATAAACTAGGCTTTGTGTTATTTTGCCCAGCTACAGGCTAATGAAGTGCTCCGGGCATGTTTAAGGTTGGCCAGGCTAAGCTATGCTGCTTGGTAGGTTAGTTGCATTAAATGCATTTTTGACTTACAGGATTTTCAACATGTGGTGGGCTATTTGTGGGTAACCCCATTGTAAGTGGAGCGGTCCCTGCATTCAGGAGTGGAACTGCTGGGTCACATGGGAGTGCTGTGTTTAGCTGATTGAGATGCTGCCAAGCTGTCTTCTGTAGCAGCTGTACAGTCTTTTTTTTTTTTTTTTTGACTCAGAGTCTTGCTCTTGTTACCCAGGCTGGAGTGCAATGGCGCGATCTTGGCTCACTGCAACTTCCGCCTCCGGGTTCAGCCAATTCTCCTGCCTCAGCCTCCTGAGTAGCTGGGACTACAGACACGCGCCACCATGCCCGGCTAATTTTTTGTATTTTTAGTAGAGACGGGGTTTCACCATGTTGACCAGGATGGTCTCGATCTCTTGACCTCGTGATCCACCCGCCTCGCCCTCCCAAAGTGCTGGGATTACAGGCATGAGCCACCGCGCCCGGCCTTTGCAACTGATTTTTGATGAGTTGATTTGTACCCTGCAGAACTGCTGAATTTATCTATCAGCCCTAACTGTGGGTGTGTTCTTACATTTTCTGCATATAAGGGCGTGTCATGTGCAAGTAAAGATGGCTTTGTTTCTTCTTTTACAATTTGAATGCCTTTTCTTGTTTTTCCTGCCTAATTGCTCTGGCTAAGACTTCCAGTAAAATGTTGATTAAAGTGGCAAAGTGGGTACACTTGTCTCGTTCCGGCTCTGAAGGGAGAAAGGCTGCAGTCTTGTCATTCTGATACCAGCTTCGGATTTCTCATACGTGCTCTTCATCGTGCTGAGGAAGTTCTTTTTCTAGTTTAGTGAGTTAGTTTTTCGTCATTAACAGATAGTGTGTTTCATGAGTTCCTTTTTTGGTATCAGCTGAATTGATCACGTTTGTCTTTTTCTCTTTATTCTTTTAATGTGATGTTTTGCACAAATGTTTGCACACGGAATGACTGTGGCATTCCTGGGTTAAATCCCACCTGCTCACGATGCATAGTCCCTTTGCATGCTACTGGGTTCAATCGCTGGTGTTGTGTTAGAGTTCGGCGTGTATGTTCCTAAGGGATGTGTTCTGTAGTTTTCTTTTCCTGTGATGTCTTTGCCAGGCTTTGTCATGATGACCTCATAGAAAGAGTTGGAAGTTTCCTCCTCTTCTATTTTTGGAGGAGTGAGAAGGACTGATGTTGATTCTTCTTTCAATACTTGGTAGGATTCCCAGAAAAGCCGTCTGATCGTGGGCTTTTCTTTTCTGGAAAGTTTTGAACCCGGATTCAGCCTCATTGCTTGCTTTAGATCTGTTCAGATTTTCCACTGTCTCTGTGAGTCAGTTCCCTGCATAAGCCTTTCAGGGAAAGCCCTGTCAGGTCAGAACTAACAATTACGATTCCCTGGGTGTAAGATCCACTCTGCTCTTTCCTGAAATGTCCACGTGGGAAACTCGCACTGCCCGATTCGAGACGGCTGCTGTGCTGTGTCGCGGGCAGCTCTACATCAGGCTAAAATCCTGCAGTGTTCTCCTGACCTGTTTCAGTGGCCCTGTGACTGTGTTTCGGCATATGCTGCTAAGGTTGATTCTGAGAGTTTAGTCAAGTTTTTCAGCATTTATTAAGGGGACCATCCCAGAGGTCCCTGCTCACCACTTTTGCTGATGTCACGCCTATTAATAACTTTTAATTACACAGACACTGTTTTATGGAAACAACGGTTATTTATATATTTATTTATTCTGAGACGGAGTCTTGCTCTGTCACCCAGGCTGGAGTGCAGTGGTGTAATCTCAGCTCCCTGCAACCTCTGCCTCCTGGGTTCAAGTCATTCCCCTACCTCAGCCTTTCAAGTAGGTGGGAGAACAGGTGCGTGCCACCACACCCGGCTAATTTTTTGTATTTTAATAGAGACAGGTTTTCACCATGTTGGCCAGCATGGTCTCTATCTCCTGACGTTGTGATTCTCCTGCCTCGGCCTCCCAAAGTGCTGGGATTACAGGCGTGAGCCACCACGTGCGGCAAAACAACAGTTCTTTTACCGTGGAGTTTAGAGTCTCATCGTCTTCCTCTCCCACGTGGCCCTCTGTGAGAAGCACCCTCTCACGTCCCATTCATCCCAGGCTTCTGTGTGGATCACACCAGCCATGTCATTCTCACATGACATGTTTACCAGTTTTTTGTTTCCTTTCTGACAGAATTGGGGAGTCTTTACAGGGCATGGTCTCCCAGACTTGACTCTTATAAAGAATGTTTCTTTGTCTATGTGTGTTTCCAAGTGCAGGTGAGGCAGGGCGTGTCCTTCACGTTTCTCTCTCTCTTACCCTATCTGTCTGACTTCCTGGAATGTCTGTGCTCAGGCCCTGCTCTCCTGTCCCGCCATCGGAGACCTCACTGTCCGGCCCTGCCTGCCTCGGACCGTTGTCTGCGGCCAGGCAGTGCTGTATAAGGACCCTCAGCCCTTGCATATACCGGTGTTACCTGTGTCTGCAGCAGGCAGAGGGGGCACTGGAGGCTCCGTGTGCTGCTGCCCATCTGTGCAGGCTGCTGTGGTTAGTCCCGGGTGATTTAGTGCTGGAGAAAACAGCCAGGCCAGCCACTGAAAAACAGATGTGCTTGTTAAATGTGTGCCAGGTGAATCAGAGTTTTCGGAACAGGAAGGGACCTTTGAGATGAGTTGCTCAGTGTCTTCGTTTTACCAAATGAGGGATGGAATTCCCAAAAGTCCAGTAAGCAGCAGCTCTCTCCCTCCTGGAGGAGCGTCCTCCCTGCAGCCACACGCACCTGCCGGGGTCTCCATCCATCCAGTCTTTCCCTTGAGTTTTCACTGGACCTGTTCCGGTAGCTGAGTGTCGATTCCTGCGTGGTGCAGTGGAAAGGGAGCTGAGAAGAGGCCTTCTTCTCTAATGCACTTTCCTGCACACATCCCCGGTCACTGAACCCTGCCCCACCGACTCCTCTAGACAGCAGCCACTGGGATGAAGGAGAGGATCTCCTCCGGGGCAGGCACTCACTTGGAGAGCACCTGAGCATTTTGTCCCTGGCACTTGGGGCTTGAAGCCAGTGAGGAAAGGAGTGTGAAAATGAGAAGGGAACAGACCAGTGTCACGTGTGGCCAGGTTGGTGAGCTGGAGGCAGGAGAGCTGTGATGAAGTGGGGGGCTGCGGCCTGGCTCTGACACTTACTGCGTGACCGTGGGCAGACCCTTACATGCCCTCCTCCTTGGTTTCCCCATCTGTGCAATGGGGGTGGTGATGATAAGAGTCAGGGGTCCTGAGAAGAGCGTCTGAAGCACCGGTCGGTCCGCTGGTGCTCTCGAGTGTCAGCTGTCATGACATGTAAGCATTGTCAGGAGCTGCGACTCCCTGCTTGAGTCAGGAACTCTGCTGTTCACGTACACAAGGGCCAGTCGTGCGTGAGTGTTCTTTTCACCTGTAATGCTGGTCCCTCTGTTGGACATACAGAAATATTGTGCATGGCTGTATCTATGATGTTTTTGTAAAAAGAAAGAATCTTAAAACTTTTATTTAAAAAAAAAGTTTAGAAAGATAACAGGCTGGAAAACTTTGGCAACAGTATTTGGCACGCTGGAAACTCACCCAATTTCCAGCAGTACAGGTGCTCCGTAAGCCAGAGGGTGACATAAAGAGCCCTAAAAGGGACTTCAGAAGGCACTGGCATTGTCGCACCTTTTTAAATGTCCCTTCACCGTGTAAGTGGGTTCCTGACTGCCTCACTTCATGCTGGGAGGCACAGTGGCTCACAGTTTGGTCAGAATACCTGGTTGCAAGGCCAGTTGTATGGGTCACTTTCTCAGCCCCATGCCCCTTCACTGAAGAAACAAAGGTGTTAATAGCAGTATTAGCCCTCCTGCCATCGTTCCGACACCTGACATTGGTTCTATGCAAGCAGATTGCATCGCACAGTCCTTGGCACGTGGGAAACATACACAGTTACCCTTAGTTAAAGCAGAAGTGGCGGAAAACAAATGTCTTGAACACCAGACTGAGGAAGGAAGTGCTTCTTATTCGGCCGGGAGCTGTGGGAGGCTAAAGCCTTGCACACCAAGCTCCCTGAGAAGCAGCTTCTTTCCCCTTCTATAGGCTTTCAACGCTTAAGGGGAAACAAGTGAAACTGTGTCATTGTCCATTGGCTGGACGTCTGACCTCACAATGTTTTGGCCTCACTGATTTGCTAGTTCATATGCAGCGTGCATGGGAATAGGCAGGGGAGGGGCTTACAGAGACAAGGGCAGTAAATTACTAGTTGGCAGAGGTGTTTCCAAGAGGGGCCTGGGCCATGCAGATGTGGGAACGGGACCCCGTGCCGGTCTCTGGCCGGTAAGGAGCTCTTTCATTGGCAGCTCTTTCAAGGCTTGTAGATAGCAGAGACACTGGGAACTGAAAAGGGAGTCATCTTCCCCATCCTGGGGCCGCTTGATGGCCTGGTCAGTGGCATCAGCAAGTCGCCTGACCACAGATTCACGCTCTTTGGTATTTTATTTCATTTTTTTCACCCTCCTTTGCATCCGGAAGGGAGGGAGGAGGAGGTGGAGATCAGTAAGTGGAAGGAGGCGAAGGGGTCTCCCCTCTCATAGGGGCTGCAAATATTTGCTCCCTGCGGCCCACAGACCTGTATTAAGCTGACTGCTTCCACGAGGCCCATCCTGGGTTCTGTGCCAAGGACCCAGGTCCCTGCCTTTCCCATTTTAGAGTGAAGACCGCAGCATCAGGCGTTCAGAGGCTGCAGGGGTGATCACTGTTCCTGCATCACTGCTTTGGACACCAGGGCCCAGAGAGCCTGAGTGCATGGCCCACGCGTTTAGGGTGACGAGGGTTTCAGGCTCCGCAGCTTTTTTTTTTTTTGAGACGGAGTTTTGCTCTTGTTACCCAGGCTGGAGTGCAATGGCGCGATCTCGGCTCAACGCAACCTCCACCTCCCGGGTTCAGGCAATTCTCCTGCCTCAGCCTCCTGAGTAGCTGGGATTACATGCATGCACCACCATGCCCAGCTAACCTTTTGTATTTTTAGTAGAGATGGGGTTTCACCATGTTGGCCAGGATGGTCTCGATCTCCTGACCTCGTGATCCACCCGCCTCACCCTCCCAAAGTGCTGGGATTACAGGCGTGAGCCTCTGTGCCTGGCCCCTGCAGCTTTTTTTATTGCACTGGCTGCCTTCTTAAAAAATTGTCTGCCCCATATTTGCAGCGTGCTTAGTCTAAAGACCAGAGTCTCCCAGTCTCAGCCCCAGAGAGGAGATGATCTTTTTTTAATGTGTTTGGAGTGTGGCCACACAGAGGGGATTGACCTTCCTGTATTCTAGAAAAGCTTCTTGCCCTGAGGAAAGCAGAGAGGAGGTGCAGATTCCTGGGACTCGGGGAACGTGAGCAGAGGGGAGCAGTTCTGCAGGGAGCAGGGAGAGCCTTCCCTCGGCGGAATTGGGCCTGAGAGCATTTACGTCTCTTTGTGTTTATGCTACACTCGAATGATTATTTTCTGGTCACAAAAAGATACTTATTGTTGAAATTTAAAAATACAGAAAGGCACAAAGAAGAAAAAAATCCTAGTTATTACCATTTACATTTTAGTATATAGTTTTCCAAATGTGTACCTTATGACAACACGCATACACATGTTACACTGAAAATAGCATTTTTAGCCTGCTTTATACACAAGACACATCGTAATTATCTGTGTCGACACCATAGTTTACTTTCCTTGCAGCTGTGCCTCCACGCTCTGCCTCAGCGTATAACCTTAATGCGCTCTCCCTTCTGAGAGGCAGGCATCGCTGCAAAGGAGCAGGACCAGACTGGCACCGCACCGGTGTCTCCCAGTGTCAGCTTTTTAACAAATGGCAGTTGTGCAGTAACAGATTCCACAGGGACTTTGGATGTCGACTGTCTTGTCACCGTCATGTCAGTAGCAAATGGCTCAGGCTCCTGTCTGGCTGGCTCTTGGCAGTTCTGTTAAATGAAGGCATTTATGTGGTTGTTTTGGCAAAAGTGCATGGATTACAGAACTTCCTGGTAGTATAAGAACTGGAGCCGGGCGCGGTGGCTCACACCTGTAATCCCAGCACTTTGGGAGGCCGAGGCGGGCGGATCACAAGGTCTCGAGATCGAGACCATCCTGGTCAACATGGTGAAACCCCGTCTCTACTAAAAATACAAAAAATTAGCTGGGCATGGTGGTGCGTGCCTGTAATCCCAGCTAATCAGGAGGCTGAGGCAGGAGAATTGCCTGAACCCAGGAGGCGGAGGTTGCGGTGAGCCAAGATCGTGCCATTGCACTCCAGCCTGGTTAACAAGAGCGAAACTCCATCTCAAAAAAAAAAAAAAAAAAAAAAAAGAACTGGTAAGCACATATGCAGACACACACATTCTTCTGTGACAATAAAACGGAGTTCTCAAAATCAACACACACCGCATATTCTTTCTTGCAACAGGTGTGGGAAACACAAGCTTTCTCACCCCATGGACTTCCCCTGGATGAGTCTCTGTCTCCGTGCAGATGCTGGTGAATGTGCTGGAAGGTGTGGTATCACACTGACCTCCTTCATCCCAGCATCGCATGTGGTTTTCTCTCATGATTTAATTATTTCTAAAACTGCCCCGCAGTTCTCATCACCGAGTGTGTACTCGTCACTTTCTAACAGAGGACGATGCCACAGCATGGAGAGGAGACACATATCGCCTGCTTTCCATCCTTTCACTAAACTTAGGTTTTTCTCTCAGGATGTTGTACTCCGAGCAGCAGGAGGCTGGGAATTTAGCCTCCTCCCCGAGGAGCGCAGTGGCAGAGACCCGGTCTGGGGAGCAGGTGCCTTCCTCCTGGCTCTGCCTCTTCTGACTTCCTCTTCCACACCAACCCCAGTTTTCAGGCACAGATGCCTGATCCCTTATCTGCATGCAGAGACCGAGCTTCTCCTGGCTGCAGGATTTCCCCCAGGACTCCCTTCCCTTCCTGGACAAATCTCCCATTTCCAGCAGTTCAGCCCAACGTGGATCACCGCATCTTATCAACAGCCACCATATGGTCAGCCTGGCAGGTTGCAGACCTTGCATTCTGAAACACTCCAGTCCATCAAGTGCAGTTCCCAGCAAAATACAGCCAGTCGGCTCGTGCGAACTCATGACACAGTGTTCTTTCACGATTCTCAGTGGGCACCGTCACACAGAGCATTCTGGTGTCTACGTGTCTTCTCCTCATGTTTGTCATGAAGTTTAGCAAATATTTATTGAGCCCAACTCTGTAGGGCTCCAGGCTTAGTGTTGCTGAGGATTCTGAGGTTCATCAGGGGAAGCCTCTGCCCTTCAGGAACATCTAGTGCAGGAAGCAGGTAAGATGTGTCCACAGACATCTGGTCAGCCGGACAAAATCACTGTGCCTCTGTTGTATTTTTGCAGATCAGAAAAGATTGAATCTTTTAGCAGAGAGATGATAAGCTAATTGCCTACCTTTGCGCTCACACCTTACTCATCTTTGGACTTTGAAGCCACGGCTGCTGAGCTGGAAGCTCGGGTAGTCTTAGGACAAGGACCTCTGCGCAAACTATGAAACTAGAATGGGCGTTTGCCTCCTCATTGTCCGGAGCTCTGTGTGCACATTTCATTTTTGTATCTTCTGGGAGGGACCAATAACTACAAGGTACTGATTTCTCTTTGCATGTTTTTCAAATCTGGAACCAGTTTCCAAATAATCAATCAATCAATCATCAGAAAAAGGACAAGTTTCAGATCCTGTCCACCTTCTTTTTGTATTCATTGTTTTCCTATTGCTGTATGTGTCCAGCTCTACAGGAAAGCCCTTGTGAACTATATGAATGTGCTTTCTTTTTCTTTGTTCTTCTTTCTTTTTGTTTTTTTGAGACTGAGTCTCACTCTGCTGCCCAGGCTGGAGTGCAGTGGGCTGATCTTGGCTCACTGCAACCTCTCTCTCCTGGGTTCAAGCAATACTCCTCAACCTCCTGAGTAGCTGGGACTACAGGCATGGGCCACCACACCTGGATAATATTTTTGTATTTTTAGTAGAGACAGTGTTTCACCATGTTGGCCAGGCTGGTCTTGAACTCCAGGTGATCCTTCTGCTTCGGCCTCCCAGAGTGCTGGGATTACAGGTGTGAGCCACCACATCCAGCCTGGAATGCGTTTCTTGGGTCAGTTCCTTCTACTAGACTGTGATCTCTGGTGGGCAGATACTTGGAGATGCTGGCCCACGGCCTGGCACATAAGAAATGGAAAGGCAGAGGAAGCTGCCTGGGAAGCCTGCAGATACTTTGAGGCGAGAGTGTGGGCTCCTAGGGACCCTGGGCACTTGGGGCTTAGAGAGAGAGGCCTATTTCTCTGGGGCAGGCCACACTGTAGAGGGTAAAAAGGGTAGGAAGAAAACGTCCTTCTCTGTAGACACAGCTCACCTCATTCACAACTTTTCCTGAGGCACAGAAAAATTTTATTCAGTTATTTTTACCACCTCTCCTTCCCTCCCTTCCACCCTCCATCCCTTTCCTTCCTTTTTGTCCCTCCATTTCTTTTATTTTTTTCTTCTTGTCTCTCCTTCCTTCTTCCAACCCCTCCCAATCTTTTGTCTTTCAAGATTGCAGCTTTAATTATTATATTCTGTAAAATTTCCGTTCTCCCTACAGCAGAGATACTTAACTAGAGCAGTTCTGCCTCCCACCCACCCAGTGCCTGCTGAGAAGACATTGGCAGTGACCACAGCTCTTCTGCTGCAGCAGCCCGGGGGGGCGGGTGCTACTGGCAGGCAGTAGGCGGGCTGAGGCCAGGCAGCCACTCAACAGCCTGAACATGCAGGAAAGGTCCCTCCCTAAAGAAGTATCTGCTTAGAATTGACTTGGCTATGCGGGCTCTCTTTTGGTTCCATATGAAGTTCATGGTGGTTTTTTCCAGTTCTGCGAAGAAGGTCATTGGTAGCTTGATGGGGATAGTGTTGATTCTGTAAATTACTTTGGGCAGTATGGCCATTTTCACGATATTAATTCTTCCTAACCATGAACATGGAATGTTTCTCCATCTCTTTGTGTCCTCTCTGATTTCGTTGAGCAGTGGTTTGTAGTTCTCCTTGAAGAGGTCCCTTACGTTCCTTGTGAGTTGTATTCCTAGGTATTTTATTGTTTTTGTAGCAATTGTGAATGGCAGTTCATTCTTGATTTGGCTCTCTTTAAGTCTGTTGTTGGTGTATAGGAATACTTGTGATTTTTGCACATTGATTTTATATCCTGAGACTTTGCTGAAGTTGCTTATCAGTTTCAGGAGTTTTTGGGCTGAGGTGATGGGGTCTTCTAGGTATACTATAGTGTCGTCTGCAAATAGTGACACTTTGGCTTCCACTTTTCCTATTTGAATACCCTTTATTTCTTTTTCTTACCTGATTGCTCTGGCTAGAACTTCCAGCACTATATTGACTAGGATGGTGAGAGAGGGCATCCTTGTCTAGTGCCGGATTTCAAAGGGAATGCTTCCAGTTTTTGCCCATTCAGCATGATATTGGCTGTTGGTTTGTTGTAAATAACTTTTATTATTTTGAGATACGTTCCATCGATACCGAGTTTATTGAGGGTTTTTAGCATAAAGGGCTGTTGAATTTTGTCAAAGGCCTTCTCTGCGTCAATTGAGATAATCATGTGGTTTTTGTTTTTGGTTCTGTTTATGTGGTGAATTAGGTTTATAGACTTGCGTATGTTGAACCAGCCTTGCTTCCCCGGGATGAATCCTACTTGATCATGATGGATAAGTTTTTTGATTTGCTGTTGCATTCGGCTTGCCAGTATTTTATTGAAGATTTTTGCATTTATGTTCATCATGGATATTGGCCTGAAATTTTCTTTTCTTGCTGAGTCTCTGCCGGGTGTTGGTATCAGGATGATATTGGTCTCATAAAATGATTTGGGAAGGATTCCCTCTTTTTGGATTATTTGGAATCAAACACCGCATATTTTCACTCACAGGCAGGTGTTGACAATGAAAACACGTGGACACGGAAGGGAGCACTATACACTGGGGTCTGTTGGGGGGAAATAGGGAAGGGACAGCAGGGGGTGGGGAGTTGGAGAGATAGCATGGGGAGAAATTCCAGATACAGATGATGGGGAGGAAGGCAGCACATCACACTGCCATGTGTGTACCTATGCAACAATCTTGCATGTTCTTCACATGTACCTCAAGACCTAAAATGCAATAAAAAAAAGAAGTATCTGGCCCCAAATGTCATATGATCAAGGATTCGAGACATGGCCTGGAGAATAAGGATATCCTCGATAAATGACATTACGATAGCATTACGAGCCTGCTGTCATTAGCTGTTTTTTTCTTCTTTTTTTTTCAAACTGTATCCAGCTTTATTAAAGATACTTTCCATAAACAATCATGATATTTCAGGCAGGACACGGGCAGACAATCATTAACAGTATACAACAACTTTCAAACTCCCTTCTTTGATCTACTACCAAAATTCAGAACGCCACTGTAAAACCCACTGAAGTCTTCATCCGATGCCCTGAACAGGGAAGCTTTAGAGGGAGGGTTGACATTTCACATTTAGCATGTTGTTTAACTTTTCATGAGCCGACCCTGACTTTCAGGAACTGGAATGAAAACGGCAGAATTTATCTGAAGATCCACAATCTAGAAATGGAAGCACTACTCTTTTGACAGGTGCCATCTCAGGGGCATCACTGGCAAGACCAGATTGCCTGACACACTGGTAACCAGTGACTGGGGTCAGGTCCCAGGAGATGTCTGGGCTTAAGGGAGTTAAGTCTATGCGGAAAGACGGAAAGGGAGAAGAGGACATAAAAGCAAATTTGTTTTCCATACCACAAGGCTTTTGTGTGCCAAGGTGGCCGTGTGTGTCAAAGTCAGGGAATCCCTCCTCCTGGGAGCCCAGAGGAAGTCTCTCAGAACTAAAAGGGAAAGGCGTTTCCCCACATCAATCCAGCTTTGGAGACATTCTATTAGTGACATCTGCCCCTTCTCCAAAAACAACAATGAAGTGTTCTGTGTGCTAACAACATAGCTAAAAAAAAAAAAGGTAAAACAAAATCCTGCATTTTTATAAAACTTGATAAAAATAGTATTTCAAACTGTACAGTCACCAGAAGTACCCAGTTATCAAGACGCACACACTTCACTCGGCATCTCCAGCACCTTCGGCTTCCTGCGCCTGGTCTGTTTGGGCGTCTCCCTTTCCTGTAGGGTTATCCCTTTCTTGCCGGCATCAGCTTTTCCCTCTTTCCCTTTTGGTACCGTCTCTCTCTTCTTTGCAGGCGCCTTTTTAGGCGTGGGCTCTGGCTGTGGAGGAGCAGGTTTAGCAGACAGCCTCGCGGACCTTCTCTGTGGTTCGTCCTTCACCCTGGCTCTATCTCCTTCAGCGTCCCCTTCCGCCTTTCCCCTGGGCATGGTGGCGACGGCAACGGGACGTAGGCGCTGGGCGCGGGATGCAGCGGCGCATGGGCTTCAGTCAGCCCAGGGGTTGTTCTCGCCTCCTCTTCTTCACAATACTCCCGTTTCTTCCTTCTTAACTCTCCTATTCCTTTTTTATCAAATGTGTTATAAGAAGAGAAGGAATCAAAAGAAAAAAAAAACTGTCACAACAAAGTCCTGGGTAACATACAGGCAGGGTTAGGCCTGAGTGATTTGGAGTTACTGTAATTTTCTTATTTTAAATTTTTGTTAATATGCTCTGAAAACACGGGAAGAGAAGATTCAGTCTTAAAAAATACTGAATGTCGGCCAGGTGTGGTGGCTCACGCCTGTAATCTCAGCACTTTGGGAGGCCAAGGCGGGTGGATCACCTGAGGTCAGGAGTTCAAGACCAGCCTGGCCAACATGGTGAAACTCCATCTCTACTAAAAATACAAAAATTAGATGGACATGGTGGTGGGTGCTGGTAGCCCCAGCTACTCAGGAGGCTGGGACGGGAGAATTGCTTGAATCAGGGAGGCAGAGGTTGCAGTGAGCCAAGAGCACGTCCCTGTACTCCAGCCTGGGCAACAGAGAGAAACTTTGTCTCAAAAAAACAAAAATAAAACCCGAATGTCAATATCTCAGGACCTAATTTTGAAGATATGCTCTCTTTTTTTTTTAAAGCCAAATTGACTTGGACATTAGGAAGAAGTACTCTGTTAGTTTTTAAATAAGAGATTTGACGAAGTTGTCATCAAGATGATTTTAAAAAGAATTTCAGCCTTCCTTAAACCTGTTGCAGGTTTCAGCACTGAAAGTCTCCTGTTTGCTAGGACAAGCAAAGTCTCTGCTCGTTCAAGTAAATTGGAAATTCTTGCAGAATTCACATGTGGTAAATTAACATACGAAAAATGACAAA